ACCATGTCTTAGATGTGTTTCTGCTTTAAAGGAAGAACTACTACAAGCATGGATGGCTGTCCAGGATTGCAAGTGCAGAGGTTACAAATGCGCACAAAACTATTACATAGTTTTGCAAATTGAAAGGAAGCTGGATTTGCACTAGATAGAAAATAGATATAAATCACCTGCTTCAAAAATACCCCCTTCTGTTCTTAAAGGATCTTCCCCTTCTGAAATTTAAAGTTGGAATAAGAATATTTGCAGGAACAATTATTCTGATTCCAAACCCACTGCTACTCAGTTTCATACTGTCTAGGGTTGTGCTTGAAGAGATGTAAAAAGAATTTGTCTCTAGCTTTTCAAATGTGTGTCATGGTTGTTTTATAGCAGAGTTCTCATACTGCTATCTGAATGTGTATCTGTAGCTGGACTAAAGGATCTTCAGTTTCTCCTTGTGCCATCAGTTCCCCATGGAGTGCCTGTCAGAGTGTGGCACCATTCAGACTTTGAAAGTCTGTCACAATCTGAACAACGCAAGTACGGACTGTCCTGGACGTTGAAGACACTGCCCGTGTATAATAAACCAAACGATTGGCATTTGCATATTTGAATCAGGATTCTCTTCTTGCCTATTAAAATAATAAGTGCCAAGAGATTTTCACACGGTCTAAGCAGTGGGCTGCTTGATATTCCGGCTTTTTCAGATGACACTTATCCACGGGTACACCACTGCCAGACCTGAACTGCCACAGTGTAATGAATATGACCGACTCATTAAAGATGGAATAAGGTCATTATTATTATTAGCATACACTAGTCAGCCAATAATGGGTTCTGAACTCTTAAGTCATTCCATCATGATAAAACCTCCAGACTTTTTCTAAGTGCATTTGTAAGCACTGAGAAGAACCATAATAATAGCTGTGCACATCCACATCACTCTATATTCTGCATGCTTAAAATAACATTAATTTACATCTCCAAATATATCTGCATCACAGAGAACGCTTACCAGCTTGGTTGGTTGTCACAGTCACTGACACAGACTGGTCTGGACTAGGGTTCTGTTTGGACACTCCATTCACTGCCCAGATCTCAAAGGTGTAGTTGGTATGGGCTTGCAGGTCAGTGATAGAAACTTTGGTTGTCTTAAGACTATTCTGTTGGGGTGTGTAGTGAACTCCAGATCCACATGGCCGGCAGCGGGTTAAATCAGCACCACATCTCTTACAGACCACATTGTAAGAGACATCTGTCCTCCCACCAGTGTTCTGAGGAGCAGTCCATTCCAAATTCACAGAAGTTTCATTGACATTGGAAATCAGGTTCTGAGGAGTTGATGGAGGGCCTGTTAAAAGAAATTATATATGAGATGTTAAAAAAAACAGTATTAAAAAAAAAAAATTTTTGTAGAGAAGATAATTAAACACAAAAAAAAAGCAGTAAGCTCTTCCTACAGGTAGCAGGATGCAGAAAATTAAGTTTAGAAACGATGCACACTCCATTCACCAAGCTAGACATAAAATATCTGTTGCCCAACCCAAAGATTTTGGCCAAACTTAGCAATGAACCCCATGTCTATAAATAGCAGTAATGGCTACTGATTCCCTACATATACAATAGCACTGCAGGTATATGGTCATGGTTCTTTATGGTTCCCTGCTCTCTAGGTATGGACATGCACGCTTGGCAAGCCAAGCATGCATGTTTACATGATTATCTATATGAAATTAAAATCTGTATGCATGCCTCATGGGTCTTGAAGGTCAATTGCTATCACTAAACATGAATATTTGATTTTGCAGTCAGCTTAAATTGCACACCTGACTCTATGGGGTTGATTTACTAACCTTTTAAACACACCACGAACGTGTATACACCTCTGTAGTGTGTTCCCTCCCAGCATGATCTATGGGAGGAATCGAAACACCTTTGTAGTGTGTACACACCCAGCAGGTGTGTTGTGCAAAGCCCTGCAATGAATTGCAAGGTAATGTGGTGTAAATTAGCTCTATGTTATGTTGCTTGCGTTGATGAATGCAGGAATGTAAATGCATGAGCTAACCATTTTTGTCTAAACTGTGAAGCAGCATTATATATGCATCATGTGCATGATTTTTCCATATATGGCATTAGTGGAAATATGCTTTTAGAGACTTTTTGGTGGATAAATACGTTTTGCTGGGTGAAAATCACACACACCTGGTGTGTGTGTGTGTGTTTAGGTTAGTAAATCACCCCCTATGTCTCATCAGGGCTATTGATAAGAAAATACAGCCACTTTATTCTGAAGTCCTTAAGAGATAAAAGATGCCAGTGGGTACTTCAACCACCAATGTACACTTAAAAATGAATTAACACTTTTGGGAGGACTTGGCTTTTAAATCTCTGGAAATTGTGGTTTCCTTGACCACCGCACTGTTCTCCATTCTCGGCAACACATAGCCCGTGAGGGCACCTTTCCATACGGCTATGTCCACTTTCACGTGGGAAAATATGCCACATTGAATCAAGATCCTCAGAAAGCAAAAAGTCAGTAATTGGTATGTGGGACGAGGCCCAGGCAGCTTCTGAACACAGGGGCAGCCAAGCAGAAAACTAGGCACGCAGATGCTGGCAGGTCTGAGGAGGGAGATGGGTCAGAGGAAGGCCCCCACCCTCTCCTCCAACATGAATGGAGATGGTATATGGAGAGTAGCGGGTGACAGTTGAACACAACATGATGGAGGAGGTAGGCATCCACTGAATAAAAATCTTGACTTTATCAGCAAGGATTGGATGAAATAAAAGGTACTGAGCTTGACAGGTTGGTTTAAACCTAACTGTTCAGTGCAAATATCTTTTTCACATCTGTATGTTCTACATGAAAAGTCAAACCAAAGCCTTTCTAAATGGAATCAGAGCACTCCAGATTTAATTTCAACTGCACACATCTACATTATTTGTGAAGTTAATATTTACTTTATTAATAAGCTTTTTGGAATTCACCCAATGAACATATAAAATAAAAGTATTCTCACAGAATCTTCTTAATGTGTTTTATTAATCTAAGTTCAGACAAGTGAAACAGTCAGTAATTTGCAATGAATATACTTAACACTGTTTTATCCTACAGTACCCATCGCTGTAGGTGGATTTCTTTCCCATAATAACCCTCGCTTTTTTGTGCCTTGGAAAATAATGCATCTGAACTCATCCATTTAAAGGAAGAGACCATCCAAACCAATGCTCCTGGTTAATTAAAACAGATTTCAGGAACTCAGATTCTGAGCCCGTTCAGATTTCTATTCACATACTAATCACACCAAGACCTCGGCTGACCTTGCCATTTCTCACAGAGTGACCTTGAATGCTTAGCAGGCTTTCAATAGAAGCATCTTTGGGGTTTTGCCTGCTCCAACCCCAGGACCCATTGTAGTACGTACATCTTTGTTTTGTTTACTGTCAATGTTAAGCTCACATTTTGTTTTCATTAAGCTGGGCAATTTTCTCCAGAAGACTCTGACGCAGCCCATTAAATTACAGTTTTCTGTTTCCCGGCTGGGCGAGTTAGGACTGGAGAGGGTGTGTATGTGTGTGTGTGTGTGTGTGTGTGTTGAAGGCTCAGATTAGTTACAAAATGAGACACAGACAAGGAGAAGTCTTGCAAGGGGTTTCCCTATTATTATTATTTTTATGCATTTCTTGATTGGAGAGGTGGTGGCAAGTGTTGGTTTGCGGACAAGCCCTGGGAAAAAGTTATTAATTTATCTTTCCTAATGAGAAAAAAATAATCAGAAACAAGCACCTCAGGACGTGAAGATTACCACAACCTGAGTCTGCAGGGAAAGCTTTGATCAATTGTTGTAGTTATGGCATAAAATAATGAAATGCCAGTTTCTAAAATCCAAATTCCAACAGTCAACCTTATTCATTTATTGGAAACTGATCATTTTCTTCCTTCTGTGATGTGTCATTTGCATATACAGTATATCTGTGATGATGGCCAATCAAACTTTAAGACAAAATCTTACTTGCCTATAAAAAACAAGGGATGCTTAACAAAACAAAATGAACTTGGAGGTTATTTGTAATACGGTTGCATAGTCACATAATACGGTTGCATAGTCCGATAATATACTTGAACATATCAGTCTTATGTATTAAGGCAATAAGAATTGAGGTAAAGAATACTATATCCGACCTATAGCAATTGATCAGCACCTTCCTTATTCTGGCTTCTCGAACACTGAACAATCATCGGCTGATCTAAGCTGTGACACTTCGCCAACCGTCATTGCTCATTGTCTTATTAAAAAAGCTTGCATGTCTTCCTTGCCTATACAAAGTCAATAATAACATGCTTTAGCGGAGGCTTGTGCAACCTGGGGTGTGGATAAAACACTTTAAATTATCCGGTAAGATTTACAAGCTGGTCAATTAAGATTTGGACATGGGTGACTGAGAAGGATTCATCAGTCAGTGCAGAAAGCAATAAGCAGTTCTGAGACGGGTTTCTGTCTTCGTTTCCAAGTATGCCAAGAAAGGCAGGAAAGTAGCTGCCGATTGATAAATAAAGTAGCAGCGTGTGACAGTTGTAAAAACAAGATCCCCACTCTCCCTCTTCAGATAATAACTTCAGCTGGCATGTGCCAAGTATAGGAAGTGAAAAATGACCCTAAATGGAAGACTATGGGGCCAGGCTTGCTCTTCTACACACATTAGACACCCACGTGCAACCTGCAGCTTTACCTGTCTAAAACAACTATGAGGTCAAGCTTAACTGCCAATAAAATAGTTGTGTTTATGCTCCTGCCATACGTTTACTCACTGTGTGCATTGCTGGATAAATTCAAAAGCTGTGTGCCTAAACCCTATAAAAGTTTAATATTGGTGCCTTTTTGCGAGATTATTAAATGGACAAGCTATTAAATGCATCTAAATGGCTACTTATGGAATTTACCATCAACTTATTAGGGTACCTCTCTGGTATGGTATTGTGAATAAATAGCAGTTATCATTTACCATACCAATACACATAAAAAATACACCTTACAGCCAAATTGTAAAATACTTTAAAACTTTGTGAGCCATTACATTAAAAAATGTAGTGGCCTCCTAAAGTAATTTCGATATAAGGTAAATGTAATTAATGATTACTGGATTATGTCACTGAACAAATCCGATGATTCAGTTGACAAACATTTTCCAGCAGGTCTGATAAATTCTTCTATGTGAAACCCTACAGTGATAAAATAATTGTGGAGTACAAATACAGGAGCTGACATCTATCTTTGTGTAGATCAAAATGGCAAAGTATCATGCAAGTCACTATTGATACAGTGCTTTGCTATTGCTAGCCAATATCCTTCTGGAACTACAATCCCCTCTATTTAATAAAGCAGTGCAAAGCACAATGATGACATGCAAAGTCAAGAAACTCATAGCAATCAGGTTTCGGTTTACTGAATGTCATCAAAAAGATGACTTATCATTGGTTGCAATGGGATACTGCACTCTACACACCATTCTACCAAATAAAGACAAAATAGCTTCTTAAACCTCACACCTAAGAAGCATGAAGATTGAGAACAATCCCTAATCAAGAGGTCATCATGAATAGATGAGAAGTGAGTGTTTTTGAAGATTGCAGACATCCTATACAAAGAATTTATGGCGTACTGGTATGCAGTTCAAGACACTACAACCTGCAATTAATCCACCATTCCCCAGAGGCTCTCAGGGTTCTCTACAATACTGAAGTGCAATTCCTAATACAATTGTGGAAGACTAAACTTTTACAAAGGGGATTCCTATTAAACCAATGACACCATAAACTCTCTAGGTCAGAATAGCTCACAAAGAAGCAGCTGGTTCTTTAGGCTTAAATTACGAAGTGTTTCTTATGCCTTGAGAACTCTGGGAACCTCAGACAGATGCGCCAGCATCTACTGCCAAGCTAATTAATTGTGTCCATCCGCTTAAGTGCTGATGAGATGTACTCAAGGTGATGACAGAAAGGCCCCTACTGTAGATGATCTGCAGTAATAACTGGACCAAGAAATGCAGAAATATCTCTCTTTTTGGTAATTTACTAAATACCACCTGATCAAACATCGCCCAATCGTAAGCTGCAAACATTTTTCCAGTTAAGAATATTTTGGGAATTGCGGGTTATGGTTGTTTCATGACTTCGTAAAACCTGAAAATGAGGCTATACATGAGGATTGCTGTGTAGTATTAAGAAAAATCTATTCTACTTTGTATAGTGATTCTTATGTCCCAAGATTTTTTTAAAGGAGTTAGTTCCATACATATATACATATCATATATATATATATATATATATATATCACTGCTCTCCCATTATATTTTATTATATCAGAGACACTTCAAATATAAGGAGGTTTTTTACATTCTATGAAAAAATTTGATGACAGACAAACCCAATAGCCAGCAGGTACGTTAAACCAGCAAGAGAAGGTAGTGCTATTAAGAACAACGTGAAGGAGAGGTAGGAGCCAGTCATTGATGGTTAGGTGCATTGACTGCTCATGGCCAATGTGTTTCAAAGTAAAACACATTAAACTTTGTTGAATTTAGCTATATGGATAAAATAACCATTTTCCCTCTGTTAGCTTTTGAAAAAGGAAACATTTTCTATATTTGTAAGACACAAGTTATTCCTCAGCTCTTTTAAAGGGTCCCCTTTGTGCCATAAGGCCGATACATAAAATACATCATCTTGTGCACACATAAAACTTCCTCCCGTTATGCTTTCCTGCTCAATCCACACTACAAGCAGAAGCACTAAGCTTTGTTTCACCGCTAACCACCATCCTCGCCTAGGATTTTGCTGCAGCACTCTCTGAATCAGTGATGCAGGCACCCCTGGAGAAAATACCAGGCATTGCAGATTCCCTGATAATTGCTTTTGTGCTGTTCTGTACGTGCTTCAGAGACAGTGAAAAGAGAAATTCAGATGAAGGTTAAAAAGCGAAAGGAATGGCAAGGGATGAGAGTTTAAGGTAAAACTGCCTTAACTCTTCCCCTGCTGAAATGGCTGCAGATTCCTGCACTGCAGATACTTCCAGCAGTGAAGAAATATCGTCTGCACGAATGAATCCCGCTGAGAGACGTTCAACGCACAGAAGCCAGAAAGAAATGCTCGCTTTCATCCTTGACCTTGGGATCGAGTGAAGGTTGCCCGGGTTTCTCAATCTGCCCTTACATTTCAACAAGCTGGCTCCAGGAGGCAGCAACGGAATTCGCAGGAAGGTGCCACCAGTCATTTCATTAGAGTTCATTACGAGGATAACTGTCAAGATGCATTAGAGGAAGCTACCGAGATTAATAGGGTGCAATGGCCATTTAAAAACAATATAATTTCTTGAAGAAGCAACAGCCCGGACATCAAATCTTATTATACAAAAGGGAAAAGAAAATGATGGGAAAGACTCCATCATTGGCTGGAGCCTGAAGCTGATAGATTTACAGACCAAACACAGAATACAGAACAAAGAAAACATTGCAGACTGCTAGCACATGGCTTTCATAATGTAAATGGACACAATCAGCAACACATTTCCACATTTCTACTTTCTTTATTTTAGGAAAATAATGAAATAATGAACATTATTATTATTTTGACTGATTTCTCTATTCCAGGTCTCCTAAGGTTTATTACAATCTACTCAGTACTTGGTGCCCTGCATGCATAAGTCTACTTTAGGCTACGGAAGTAACTATAATGGGATCAATATAAAAAGTGATGCCAATGACAAAAACAATGACCATTTTAATGCTGGTCATAGAGCAACCTATATTTCAGCCATTTATGAACATTTCATGACTGTTCAGTCATTATATCTACAGGTAGCGAGTGATTAAGCATAGGCACTCCTGAGAAAATTAGTCTTAAGCTTTGGCAGAAAGAATCTGTTTCACATCAGCAGTCACTGAATTTAATCAATACGTAAATGCCCCATTAGACTTACGGGCTTATTCAGTGCAAATGGCAATGACAAGGTGCAAAAGTGAAGTAACCCTTAACAACCAACCATATTTTATATTTTATTGTAGCCAATTATGATAACTGTGATCTGATTGGTTGAGTTTCTGCACTTTGCGCACGTTCAATTAACTCTCCACTGCTTTATTCTTTACATCCACTTCTGTTTACCAGCTATTTTCAGTGAAACCATGAAGGCATGATATGGATGAGAAACATACACAACTGGAGACTCATAAAGAAGTCCTAACGATTTCTTGTTATTGTAGTCCATAGTCCAGCATTCCCAGACTCCAGAAAGACAAAGTTTGAACTAGTAGGTATGACAGTAACAGAATTCAGCTGCTATAGTTAAGCATTGATACTGACGACCCAGCAAAATACCTTCATAGCAATAATTCTACTAAAATGAACACATCCATGGCATGTGTTCTACAGGACTGTAAAGCAGCTGATAGGACAATGAGTGTCCTTATACTGAGCCCAAGTGAAGGGGTCAGCAGGGCTGTGGGAAACATGTAACTGTGCTCATATTAGTGCAACATAAACCCACTAAGCACAACGGGTGATACCTACAGCAATACTCTGTGCTTGTGACAGCTGCTTTAAAGTATCTCTTATATTTTTATAAGGAGAGCATGAATTATACAGTAGAAACAAGACAGAGGACAAATTCCAAAATGAAAGCAGGAACTGTAATTCCACAGAGGATGACTTCACTCTCACTTTCCCTAAAAAGATTAAAACAGTATGGGACTTACGAGTGCAAGGCATGGAGGCAGGGTCACTGTCGGCTCGAAAAAAGCCCCTGTCACAGGTGCATGAGGTGGATCCTTCACGAAGAGCAAAGCTGTGCGGAGGACACTTGGAGCATGCCGCGTCTGATGAGAGGGCTTTGTAATATCCAGCTTTGCAGGCTGTGGAAGATAGATTCAAAAGGATTAATTTAACACAGTGAAAACATTTAAAACACAACAGAAAAAAGTCAAGTGATCACAAAACTTGTTTTGGTGGACAGGCTACCTTCACCTACCTATGCCCTCTTCTCAATTTATTGCACACTATTAAGCAAAGCCATTATATGATATCCACTGTACTCATCAGAATATAAACTTGCTCACAAAATAACTTATTCCATTACATAGGTACATTTTGAACAGATCTTGGTAACAACTAATGAACTGAACAAATATAAAACCACAAAAAAAGGAGATGCATTGGTCACAAAATGCAGATTCCAACCATAATCTGACAGGTGCTTGTGGGCAACACACCAATTTTTTTTTCTCTGCATTTAATAAATTAGCCCCAGTATCACTTTGTACAAGTCTGCTGGAATTTTGAATGAATTCTCTTAGTATGCGTGGTGAGCCTTGCAATGTCTATTGTTTATCTTCTCTGCCCCTTGGAAAAGAGCAGGGTCCCTTCAACCAGAACAAGCACGGTACATTGCTTAGTGCTTGATGACTTGCTAGGTGTTTGATTAGCTTCTCTTGAAAACTGACCCATGGGAGAAATTGATAAGAGTCAAAAACCACAGCTTGGCAGACAGATAGGCTTGGGTCAGGCCCCTATCCCCACATCAAACACAACCTCATCCCCCTGCACGCAGAATACCAACCCACTGGAAAGAGCCTGTCATTCAACCGTCACAGATAAACAAAGACAGCTTGTGTACAGCCAGCGACTGTATGCAAGAAGGCCTCACTTTTTTTCTTTTGGACTTGACAACATTTTAAATACGGCTGAATGAACACAGTCAGTCTCTGTATTTACCGCTGCATTGCATGTTCAGGAGGAACAAAATGGCCCCTGCGAAATATATGCTTCATTTTAGAGCAAGGCAGCTTACCATCTCTGCCTGCAAAGCAAATAGCTAGACAAAACTTGCCCATAAATTGTACATAAATGAAATAGAGTTTAGTCAGCATGGTAACTAAGTGCAGTTACAGAGGTGTGTTTATTGATGGGGGACGTTAAAGTATACCTAAAGCCAAAAGTTGTTTCTTTTTTTTTCTTTTAGATAGCAAATGATTCACACACACACACACACACACACACACACACACACACACACACCCCAAAGAGAGAGAAAATATATACAAAGTGAAGGAATTACCTTTGTAGACATTAGTCACCAGAATAGGGACAAGTCTCCTCGTTGGAAGATTTTAGCAAATAGCTAGACAAAACTTGCCCATAAATTGTACATAAATGAAATAGAGTTTAGTCAGCATGGTAACTAAGTGCAGTTACAGAGGTGTGTTTATTGATGGGGGACGTTAAAGTATACCTAAAGCCAAAAGTTGTTTCTTTTTTTTTCTTTTAGATAGCAAATGATTCACACACACACACACACACACACACACACACACACACACGCACACCAGGAAGTAAGAGGAAATATCTACAAAGTGAAGGAATTACCTTTGTAGACATTAGTCACCAGAATAGGGACAAGTCTCCTCGTTGGAAGATTTCCCTTATATTCCCATTCAAATGACAACACAAAATTATGGATTTTCCTTCAATTGCTGTCCTAGTGACACTAATTACCAGGACAAAAAGAGACAATGAATTTTCCAAGCAGAGACACATTCTGCAATAAGAACCTGACAAGGGTTCTATCTTTCCTGACTCTATCCAAAATGTTAGTGAAACATTAAAAGTAACCAGTCACAATCATTTTGGCTACTATTGCTGATCCTCTTTTGAAAATGCTGGTTGCCTGGCTGTCCTGCTGATGTTTTGTCCTCAATAGTTTTGTGACTCACTGACCCTGAAAAAGTATGAGTTAAGAATTCTGACTCTATTCAGACTATCCTATAGAATGTATATGCTGCATGCTTGGCCTGGGTAAGGGACTTAGTGGTATTGAAGGCAGAGACAGCCAAGCAGCTTACAAACAGGTCAGCAATGGCAGCCTACATATTTCTGCATGACATGTGTACCTCAAAATGTCTCTCTGAACTTTCTACTGCATAGAGAAAGACTATGTTCTCATGCAGCCTAGTTGGGTGGCTTTGTACAATAATAAAACCTGTAGGGTACAAATGATTGCAATGGATAAACTAGGGAAACTAGGGATCCATGCAAGTGGACATTTCATCCCATAACCACGATCTTCAGTGTGAGTGTAAAGATAGTACAATGAGGTGATCCACAGTCTGTGGTGGGGAGTCCATGGTATGAAGAGCATTAATGGGGGAAAAAAGAACTTACCACCAATATTCCATTGCTAGCAACACAAATCTGCTATCGTTTTTTATCACCAAGCTTTGGCTAATTACTTGGCCAGAATATTTCCTTGCTTTCCTGAGGTGAACTATGGAAACCCCAACAGACCGTTGTGCTTGTGCTCAATGCTGAAAGTTATGTTACACTGAATATATCAAATAAAGGATGCTCTTTGCTTATGGAACATGCATGCCATGTGACAGAGACACTCATTAAGTGTGTGTGATGCTATTGTGGCCTTCATTGTGTCCTGTTAATACATTCCCCCACCAAATCCCTATTCTCTATGTCACAAATTAAAGTCTATGGTGCGTGCTTAATGCTGTCCTCTTTTTTTGTCCCTGGGCCTTTCTGCTGAGGATTTGCTGCGTAAGACTGTGGGGAATGAGGAGGAGGAAAGGGGTTATTGCCAGAGCTTTAGGTCCATCCTTCTTTGTCCCAAGCTTAGTTCACATGTTCTATACAAGCCCCAAATTCAATATCTCTGGCACAGCTTTGATGAGTTTTCTTCCCCTCTTTTTCATCACCAAACAAAGGCAGATCCACAACCCAGATGACAGAGCAGCACTATCGGGTTAAGGTTTAGGATCAAGCCTGGTGAGAAAAAGGGTTTCAAACACAACAGAAGGATTCTACAGCACACTGACCTGTCCCTATGGATCAACCTAATCAGGATGCACACTCACATATTCACCCACATAAGGTGACCTTTCAAACCTTAGACCCAAGTGTCTCATAATAAAATACATAAATGCATGACCAGAGGCTTAGGTTCACATCTGCATGGCACAGATTATCAGATTTATGTAATAACACAGTGCAAAAGATATAGGTCATGGGCAAGGTAACTAGATAGTAAGCTCACGGGGGACAGGCCCTTTCTCTTAATGTTTCTTTTTTATTTCTATGTATTGCTAAACAGCTATAAGTTCTGTGCTTTGGAAAAAGTTATATTTTGTATTGCCTGTACTACTCTCTTGTTATATTTGTGACCTTGCATAAAGTGGAGTTAGAAGGCGATGCTATATAAATGACTAATGATAATAATGTAAAGTGCTGTTCCTGATAGCAACCAATCAGATTTCAATTTACTACAGCCATAATAGTATTCTGATGCACTGTGAATCATTAATGCACTTTGTATGTGTTTGTGTTTCATAAAAAGATGCATTGAAGTTTCCATAAAGGTCCACTGGTTTATAAATCATCATAAATCACACCCAATAACGTAAAAACAATCTGTTATTTCATTGCCTCCATCTGAAGGATAATCGAAAAACTAGTACACTTTTTTTCATAAATTTAGAATGGCCATTTCACAGAGTCACCCATTGACTGTTCTTATATGGAATCATATTTATTTTAGAGGAAACCTCCCCCTGGCCTAAATTCATAATCATTCCAGTAGTAAGGACATTCCTTTCAAGGTTCTCCCACATCTTGCAGGATCTCACTCTCCCTGCTGTACTTTTCATTTTGTTTATAGGAGACTGCAACTTAAAGAGTAAGGGCTAGTTCACACCAGAACTGGGTACGTCTGCGCAGCTGCAATGCAATTTACTGCGATTTTACTGCGATTGATGTGTGGTTTTTTTTTTGTGCTTAAAATGGGATTTCAGGTGCGTTTCAGTGCGTTTGCATTAATTTTGTATGCGTTTTTATGCGTCCCGTTGCAATCAGATGCAGCTAAAATAGGGCAAGTAGTATTTTTTTCTGACTGCACCAGACCGGACTGTTCTGGTGTGAATAGAGCACCAGAAATCCCATAGGAAAGCATTGTGATGTATTTTGGCTGCAGCAGCCAAACTGAACGGACTGCATTACCACTGCATCTGGTGTGAACTAGCCCAAAGAGGTGATGCACTCAGAAAAATACTGTTGTCTCAGTTAAGCTGCAACTGATTGCAACGGGACGCATCAAAAACGCATGCAAATGCACTGGAATGCACTAAAATCGCTGTAAAATTGCGGTAAAACCACGTCAAAACGCGTAGCACTGCAGCTGAGCAGACGCATGCAGTTATGGTGTGAACTAACCCTAAGATTTAAAGCACTCAGTAAGTTATTTAGGTTAGTGACATCTACTATACTGGAAATATAGGTAGAACAGAGCAATTTAAACCAGCAATGGGCTTTGGCCCATCAGCTGCCTGGAGACAATCAATGGATGATGGCTTATGCTGAGGGTTTATCAACTCAGGTTCATTCATTCTATGTTAAACATTTCAATAAATGATACATTTAAAGACACATTTACAATATATTGAGCGTATACTGTATATCGGATAGACTGGCAACTGCTGTACTAAATGAACACCATGCAAATCATGCAGTGCAGGCAAGGATAACGGCTCCATCATTTTAATCCAACAATTTATATATTCAGCTTTCATGGAATCGTTTGACTTCTGTGGTACAGAACCTATGCATTATGCACACTGTGATTTATACAAATGATATACATGTATTCAACAGTTAAAAAAAAGAGACTATACCAAGCAAAAAGAACAGTCAAGTCACTGGGTTGCGACTGTATTTTAGCAAAACGACACAAAGCGAAAATACTTCAGATGCTAGCTGGCTGTCACCGAGATCAAGAAAATGAAAATGCCAAACTGCATAACTCCTTCAAGAGCTGAATCCGATTTCTTTTTAGTAAGAGGCTTGAAAAGCTCAGTTT